TATATATATATATATATATATATATATATATATATATATATATATATGTTTATTGTCACCCCACCCCTCGCACAGTGATTGTCGGACATGGTCACCGGTGACCCCCGTGACCCAAAATGGAAGAAGCGGGTAAAATATAATGGATGGATGGATGTTTATTGTCCTTAAACCAGGTACTGGTAACTTTGGCACTGTGTGCAGGTGCCACTTCCTGTTGGAAAATTACATCTGCATCTCCATAAAGTTGATCAGCAGCAGGAAGCATGAAGTGCTCTAAAACTTCCTGGTAGATGGCTGAATTGACCTTGGACCTCAGAAAACACAGTGGACCAACACCAGCAGACATGGACCTCCAAACCATCACTGACTGTAGAAACTTGACACTGGACCTCAAGCAGCGTGGATTCTGTGCCTCTCCTCTCTTCCTCCAGACTGTAGATGCAGATTTAGTTTTCCAACAGGACTTGGCACCTGCACACAGTGCCAAAGCTACCAGTACCTGGTTTAAGGACAATGGTATCCCTGTTCTTAATTGGCCAGCAAACTCGCCTGACCTTAACCCCATAGAACATCTATGGGGTTATTGTGAAGAGGAAGATGTGATACACCAGACCCAACTATTCAGAAGAGCTGAAGGCCACTATCAGAGCAACTTGGGCTCTCATAACACCTGAGCAATGTCACAGACTGATCAACTCCATGCCACGACGCATTGTTGCAGTAATCCAGGCAAAAGGAGCAATGACTAAGTATCGAGTGCTGTACATGTTCATACTTTTCATGTTCATACTTTTCAGTTGGATAACATTTCTAAAAATCCTTATTTTATTGGTCTTAAGTAATATTCTAATTTTCTGAGATACTGAATTTGAGGTTTTCATTAGATATCAGTTATAATCATCAACATTAAAAGAAATAAACATTTGAATATATATCAGTCTGTAATGAATGAATATTATATAAAAGTTTCATTTTTAAACATTTCTATAAATATCTTCAAGTTCGGAGTTTCATTTTATCCAAGCAACGAAATAGTCTTGTTTTACCCTCTTTGTCTTCATTAGAAGGCATTATTGTAAATCACCTATATGACAGAGGACAGGTGTCTCTTCTTTATTCCTTGTTTGTTGACAAATGTAAAGAATCTTCGGTCAACATCCTAAAAGCATGGGAAGCGGACTTGGGAGAGAGCTTGTCGAGTGAGGAGTGGTCCAAAGCCTGCACTTCAATTCATGCACAATCTGCTAACACAAATTCCAAATTATTACAATACAAATGGCTGACTAGGCAATACATCACTCCAGTTAAATTGCATCATTTTAACCCTAATATTCCTGACATGTGCATTAAATGTACTTTCCAAAAAGGTTCTTTATTTCATTGTATGTGGGCGTGTCCTCAGGTGTTGGCATTTTGGAAGGATGTGTTGATTGTGATTGGTCAAATGATTGGTAAAAAGGTTCCTCTGAATCCTAAGATGTGCATCTTGAATATTTATCCTGAAGACTTTGTTATCCCAAATAACTTGAGATCCTTACTTAATGTCTCCTTTTTGGAAGCTAAACGCTGTATTGCACTCTCTTGGAAGAAAGGGACATTGTGTGGAATTTCACAATGGACTACACAAATGACGTTCTACTTTGCACTTGAGAAAATCAGTTATTTTACTAAGAACAAGCTTGATAAATTTTGGGTGGTCTGGTCTGTCTTTTACACTTGGCTGTGCCAAAATGATATCCAACTCGATGGTTGGAAGGGGGATTGGTTATAAGGTCATACGCTTAGTCAAACTGATGTTTTTGTTGATGGGTCTATTGAGAGTCTGCTGCAAAACCCTTTTTATTTTTTTATTTTTTTTTTGTCTGGTCTAGGTCTTCTTTTTAAGTATCTGTAAGTGATTGTCTGTATGTTTCTTATTCTCCTGTTAAAATCAATAAAAATATGTTTAAAAAAATAAAATAAAAAAAATAAAAAAAGTTTCATTTTTTAAATTGAATTATTGAAATAAAATTTTATTAGAAAAGGACATTGGAGAATAAAGTCAAACTGTTATAAAACAATAGCTTCTGATAATCTCTTTTGTTCTTTTTAGGATGAGCCAGAGCTGATGGAGATGTTGCAGTGGCCCTTATGACCATGACACAAATCCAGTTCACTACCAGCCTGTGAAAGTCGGGGTGGTCATTGAAAGTGACATCATTGTCAGCTGTCCCAGATGTGCGGATGCCTTCCTGCTGTTTGGGCTCACCAGGTATTCCAAAGCACTTACCAACACTTTTGAATGTGTTCAGAAGATTTTACTGGTTTAGAAAATGGTAAACTGTTGCCCAGGTTACAAACTCTCAAGAATGACCTGATGATACATTTGTAAAAACTCATAGATGAAGGGTTGTATTGAATGCATCTCCCCTGGAGTTCAAAGCTTTTTGGTTTTTAAATGATTCTTTAAAAGCTGCTCTGCAGAACACACCATTGGTTGTTTCTCTAACTATCTCTCAGACAGGAGGCAATGTGTTCAACATAATGGTACTTCCTCCAGTTATTTAACAGCCAACAATGGTGTACCACAAGGTTCAGTCTTAGGACCCACCCTCTTTACAATCTACATACGTAATGTTGGTAAAAAACATCCCTGATGCATCCATACATTTCTATGCTGATGACACAGTTGTTTATTGTCGAGCTAAAACTGTTGCTAAGGCTTTCCAGCTTTTGAAATCTGCATTTGACATCATTCAGCCAGATTTGTTCCGCCTCAAACTTGTTCTAAATGCCGACAAAACCAAAGGGATGCTTTTTTCAAATAGAAAGTTGGTCCCAGCAGTTCTTCCTCTGATTTCATCCTCAAATGGTGTCCCAATTGAGTTTGTTGATTCCTATAAATATTTGGGTATCTTGGTCATTCGCATCTTTCTTTAAGCTCCATGTGGAAAACTTGGTAAAGAAACTGAAAGTTAAACTGGGTTTCTTTTTCAGAAACAGATCCTGTCTAACCCTGAATGCTAGGCACCTTGTATCTGTGACTTTCCTTCCCCCCATTGACTACGATGACATTATTTACATGAACGCTCCTACAAGAACCCTGCAGATGTTGATGCTGTCTATCATGGTGCACTAAGATTCATAACTGCCAATTGTTTCATTAAAATTGTTCATCAAGTCAGTATATTTTACTCATCACCATTTAAAGGTTTTAGTTGTATAAACTCAGAATTCTTAATTTATCGAGACTTTAAAGTTTTCACTTTTAACATCTAAACAAAAACACCTAACTAAAAAAAATGGAAATATTGCACGTGAAGCAAGGTGGTTGAAAAAACAGAAAAAAATAGCATCAACTTGGACAAGAAATTGAAACAATTGGATCAAACTAGAGGAAGGATCTCAGGCTAAAATAATAAAAGACCTGAAGGATCTGGAAAGACTAAAATGAGCTCAGGAAATGACAGATGATAAATCATTGACATAACTTCACAAACAAGAAATAAATGTTGTCATCATTCTTTGTTGAAATCAGGTCTCTCTTGTAAATGAGTCCTCGAGACTCAATGGGATTAACCTGTCTAAATAAAGGTTGAATGAATGCAGGAGTTCAGCCCGTACGACCAAATACACAAATGGACCAGTGTTCTTGTTAAATGTTAAAGAGAAACTATTGTAAGTTGTGCCCATTTAGAACTGGTTTTATGGTTAATGTAACACATTTTAGTTGTCAATGTCAGATGTTGTTAAACTGTTAAAACATTGTCATTTGATTCAAGTTGATGATCTCTTGCTGTACTCTGGTATTAGGCAAAAAGCAGAAAGTACTCATTGATTAGTGCAGCAACTATTTTTAATTTGATTTTATTATTTGATATCATTATTAGTTTATTTTTTGCATTAATTGATTAGTTGCTCAGTATTTACTTTTTCACAAATAAAACCAGAAACTGTTGGAGACACCATATCTGAACATATGATGCTTTCATCTGAAATAATGTCTCAAAACAATTCAAATAGGTGCTTAACAATTGGCAACTAATCAGTCACTAAATTGTTGCAGCTGTACATTTTATGTAAATGTAAAGTTATTTTTATACTGCTCTCTTTGAATGCGTTAGCGTGTTCTTTTCTCCTTTCCAATATTTATTGCAGTTTTTCTTGTTTATTTAAAATAAGCCAAGAAAAAGCTGTTATGTAGAACATGTTCGTAACTTGGTCATTTCAAGTTTGTACTCGATGTATTTAAGGCGATCAACTGCCTCCATTTTTTTTTGTTTTGCTTCATGTGCTTTGATTAAGACAAAATCAACCTTTTTGAGTATTCTGTACTTAAAACAATGACAACAAACTAATAAAAATTGAGTTTTGTTACCTTAAAAATGTCTTGTCTTGTACTTAAATTTTTGAGTTCTGTTAATTAACTTTCATGGGTTAAAAAAGTGAAAACTTTAAAGTCTCGATAAATTAAGAATTCTGAGTTTATACAACTAAAACCTTTAAATGGTGATGAGTAAAATACACTGACTTGATGAACAATTTTAATGAAACTGGAATCAAAATGTGGGAGCAGCACTAAATGAAATTTAAGTTTTGAAAAAAACAACTCAAACATTTTGTGGCAGATTGCCTCAAAATGTTTGAGTTTTGGAAACTTATTTGTGTTTACAGGGAGAACATTCATTCAATATGCAAACCACATGCAGAAAGAGCCCTGGCTGGGATTCTAACACCTGCATCAGTGCTACCACCTGCGCCACTGTGCAGCTTCAAAACTGTAAATTTACTCACAATAACCCAAGTTTAGTCTTTTGCAGCTTCACTAATCATTTTAATGTGTTTAAGGTTAAACTGGTGGGATTTTTATTCAGTCTTGTGTAACTGGTAAGCCAAGTTTTATCTGTATCTACTTGTTTTAATGAAATCATGGTAAATAAAGGTTCTGAACCAAATGAGGCCACCTTCGATGTGAGTATCATAAACTGGTCAAAACCGGATCTGGGCCAGATGATGTGTTCTACGAACGGATCCAAAAAGGATCCGGGCCGGATGATGTGTTCTACGAACGGAACCAAAACGGATCCGGGCCGGATAATGTGTTTATGAATGGATCCAAAATGGATCTGGGCCGGATGTGGCACTTAACGAGTGGATCTGGATAGGGTCCTGGCCAGATCTGATCTGGATCCAATACATTTCCAAACTGTTGATATCTGCAGTTGTGGCTGCAGGTTGCTGAACTTTGGGTGCCGCTGAGCACCGTGCTGGTTGTGCCTCTGTGCAGTGTTTGGGTCTGAGATTGACTAATGCTCGAGCCATGTCCCTCTTTAAGTTAAAGGATTATTATTCAAGAACATTCAAGACAAATTATTATTGCATGAAGTATTATTTTTGTGTGTGTGGGTAAATACGTTTGGAACTTGTGGAGACATTTTGTGGTTGTTGGTTTGGGTCCTCCCCCAGAGAATTTTGAATAAAGTAGATGCCATTTCCTGCATTTTGGTGTATTTTACAAAGGTTTATTATTAACATGAAACAAAACATGTAAACTCTGTTAGTATTGAAATCTCTCTGACTGCAAAGCGTTCTTAATGCAACTGCTGCAGCTTGCAGGTAAGAGACATTCACTTCAGGACAAACTGAGGTCACTGACTGGTCAGTTGCTGATGTGCCTACTGGATTGATTAACAGGTGGGGTGACTCAAGCAAAAAATTATAGATTTTGCTGGCCCGTTTGAGACTGTTGTCATTTATTCCATATTTATTCAACATTTATTCCATATTTATTCAACATTTATTCCATATTTACTCAACATTTATTCTATATTTATTCAACATTCATTCGATATTTATTCCATATTTATTCAACTTTTATTCCATATTTATTCACCATTTATATATATATATATATATATATATATAAATGGTGAAT